ATTAAATTGCCTAAAAATTATTTTATTGAGAATTGTAATTAATTGTGCCTGATTGGTATAATTTTCCACTTGAAAATTATTGAAAGTTTGGTATCCGTTTGGCTTTCTTTTTTATGGAAATTGTTCATTAAAGTGATAATTTCATTTACCATTAGATCTAGAATTTGTTTCACTAACAAAAAAAAAAAAAAAAAAAAAGAACTTAAAATTTTAAATTTTAAAAAAAATTATCATATCGAATACTATTCGTTTTGCTTTATTTTGTATGAAATTGTCAATAAAATTGATAAATTTTTTTAAAATTGTAACTAAAATTTTTTCCAATTGTTTAAAAAAAAATGATAGAAAATCAATTTCCACCAAAATTGTGAGAATTGATTTTCCACAAAATCAAGGGATTGGTGAGCATGTGAGTCAAATGTGAAAAATTTCTTCCATGAAAAATAAAGTTTATCTAATAAGGTAAAAGTGGAAGTTGGAATTTATTTTCCATTTTTCATGGAAAATAATGCCCTATCAAACCGGGCCTAAAAGTACAACATTTGATTCAAATCAAGCTTAATTGTTAGATTACCCCTACTTCATATTTTACGATCCGCATTGCCCTCTTTCGAGATGGTCCATAACTCTTCAACCTACACCCACTACATTAAAATGAATGAATCCAGTCATCACACCTTTTGCTTGCGATGTCAAAGGGAGATGATTGTACCAATAACAATCACTATCACGTTAGGGTCAACTTACCCAGCCACTAGGGCTAGCAATAGGCTAGCCATGATGCAGGTGAACTAGTAAGGTTAAATTACCGTCTCAAAATATTTAGGCAACTGTATTCTTCTCAACCAATTAAACCTTGTTTGATGTACTGAAATATTTAGGCAACTATATTCTTCTCAACCACAAATTTAAATTAGTATTAATTTTCATCTGCTACTTCCTTCTTATCTGTTATAGTGAGATGAAAGCCCCGCCCCGCCACGCCCTGCCCCGATTCCCCGACTAATTTAGGAATCCTCACCTCATTCAAGATAGGTTGGGGAGCGAAATGAGACATTTTACCATCCCTTATCATTCCCATGAATAAACGTATATATTTATATAAATTGCAAATGAATGTAAATATGAAAAAATATGCATATATACATGCACGTATGATAAAATGCATTGATGTTCCTTTCATCAATAATCTACAGTTTATGGGCTATGTTTTATTACGTATATTAGTTTAGCAATCAAACAACTGCAAAGGAACGAAGGAAATTTACATTTACTACTTTTGCTCTTCAGCTGCATACAAGGCCTTGATCTCCTCGACGTCGTCATAGCTACCGAGAAATATTGGTGAGCGCTCGTGAATCTTCTCAGGAACCAAGTCAAGTGCCTGCAAGATAAAATTTTGTTTAGTCACATCAATTTAGAGCTGTGAATTGAACCATGCTATGCCAATACAGCTCGGTTTTGAGGTGGCCTGGCACACCACCTTTTTTGGGGTTCAAATCATCTTGATCCACTGTTGCCGGGTTTTTCCTCAATTTCTCAACAAGTTTCCTTTTTTTTTTCCTTCCTTAAATACAGGCCCACATTGGTCGATCCATGAAGGAAGCGGACTCGGCATTAAATGCAGCCCAGCCTATGGCTCGGCCCATCACCGGTCAGGTGTGATTTTTCCACACATTTTAGCACCTCTAGCTCAGTTACTATAGTTCGACATACTAATCAAATGTTTAACTGATTCAGATATCAAAAACTTGTACCCGCTGCTTTCCAGTAAATGCTTGTCCTCCAGCTTGTTCCATCAAGTATGACATGGGGAAAACTTCGTAGAGAACCCTGTTTGATGCAATTAGACAAGTAACGATAGTTTGAATAGTGCTTATGACAGGAGTCGTTTATCAGCCAATATTTATATGTTTATATACACACATACCGCAATTTTCCATTTGGGCTTTTCTTATCAGCTGGGTACAAAAAGATGCCTCCATAAAGTAATGTGCGATGGACATCAGCTACCATACTGAAAATCAGAAACCAAACATAAGCACTATAAAAGAAGGGGATATCATTAAGGTACCCGCCTAACTATGTTTTCCAAAAGGAGGATGATGCAGTTTCAAAAAAGGATGTTCTCCATAAATCCCCATATCACACTTCACACCAAAATTTTAGCTTTATGCTTAAAAGGACTGTTTCCCCCCTAACCCCACAAAAGGGGGATGATATAGTTTCAAAAAAAGAAGTTCTCCATAAATCCCCATATCACACTTCACACCAAAATTTTAGCTTTATGCTTAAAAGGACTGTTTCCCCCCTAACCCCCCAAAAGGAGGATGATGTAGTTTCAAAAAAAGTTCTCCATAAATCCCCATATCACACTTCACACCAAAATTTTAGCTTTATGCTTAAAAGGACTGTTTCCCCCCTAACCCCCTTGGGGGAATATAAGTACGCCTCTTATTCTCTTTTCTAGGTCTAGTGTCCCATATGCCTAATATACAACAGGAAGACATGAAAGTAGTATGGTTAAATTTTGTTTTAAGGTCAGAGACGATCATTAGTGCTCAACTATGAGAAGAACAGAATCCAAGGGCTAGATTTCAGAAAGGACTTAAAAGATTATCTTTCCTCGAAGAATTTGAGAAAAATATTTCTAATTTAGTTCCAAATTTCCAGGAATTCGCGAAAATAGAATAAAAAGTCTTGCAGTAACATTCTTGCAATTACCAAATCATATTGACCATTTGAAAATGATTTCTACATTAAAATTTCCCATTACCTTCCAATGTATCTTAGAGATTTTACTGATGAACCATCTTTTGGAAACTTGCATTTCTCCACATACCTGATATTCGTAAAATCGTGAGATTTAATGAATTAAATAAAATGTGGGATGACTATATATANNNATAAAATGTGGGATGACTATATATAAGGATGCATACTTGGCCGTTGGACCATCCCAGTTCTTGGCATTTCCTTCATTAACTGAATATATCTTTCCTTTCTTGGGAATCTGTACAACAAATGAAGTTCAAACCTGGAGAAGTTAATCCTAACAATACACATGACACTGAAGCATATTTTTTTATCTACTAAGGGAATGTGAAAACAAAGTTCAAATTAGATAGTTTGATCATACAAGTGGAAATTTGGATCAATATTAAAGTTTGAACCAGTAAGGAGCAATGAGAGTATCTGAAATATTTTAAATTGGATGGTGCATATGCAAAGGTACCTAAATAGTGATTAGTACAGCGAACATGTTAGAAATATCAATCAACTCAGAAGGGTGAAGGGGTTACCTTTATATCTGGATGGGTCAGTATGAATTCTCCAAGAGACGGATCGAGGGTGAATCCATTGACTCCCCTTCCAGCACTTAAAACAAACTGCAAAATTGCCCCGTGAACAATTATTAATGGCTAGTTTGGTAATGTGGATTGTATAGTACTAGACAATATTAAATAAGAAAACAAGGCTAAAATCTTGTCCATTGTATTGCCAATCCTAGCTAATACTGTATGCCAAACATTCCTAATAGTTTATCATGCAATCTGTAATAAATAATATTGAAAGCAACAAAAACATACTGTGCAGGAGCTTCCATACATGCAGTAGCCTGCAGCTATCATATTCTTTCCAGGCTGCAAGACATCTTCTAATGCTGGTTCACCTCCATCTTTGATCATGTAAATGCCAAAAATCTAGACAACAGAGAAGCGTTGAGTTCATTACAGCCTCGCAACAATATTCTTGAAGAAAAATCTCTTTTTTTTTTTTTTTGAGTAATATCTTTTAGTGGAGGTAGGTATAAATTAGGCAAGGATAGTACAGTTCCAATAGAAACACCACAGTCAATATTCGAGGATCCATCCAATGGATCAAAGACAACACAATACCTGCATATTCAGCATGGATGAATCACAAACTAATGTAAATAAAAGATAAATTAAAATAAAGTACATTTCAGATCAGATGGTAAAAGGACTATCAAAGATTTGAAAGAATGATAACGCACTTTCCACGCTTAGATGGCTCCACAAATGTTGCCTCTTCATCCTCTTCAGAAACAAGAATGCACTGCAAGTACATTCACAATTTTTAAAAGTCTATACTCTTATTATGTTAGAAAAACAAAGTACCTTCGCTGACTTACTGTGCGACCACTGCTAACCAAAGCCTTGATAAAAACTTCATTCGAGAGCACATCTAGTTTCTTTTGTTCTTCACCCTTTAGAACAGAAAGACAAATAAAGTGAATTTATATGTAACCAAATCTGTGCTAAATTCTAGAAAATCTGTACATTATGTTTAACACGACCCTGGAATTAAGTTTCCAAGAACTTGCCTGCACATTGGTCTCGCCAGCAAGCCCTATGAGTTTGGCCAACCCTGCCTGCAGAAGTACATAATTTGCAGAATAAGCCATTATAAAAAAAAATAACACCATAAAAACTCTTTGGCAGAACCAAAGTTTAGTCCTCATTCTCTTCCGGTCAGCAGGTCAGGCAAAAGATGGGGGAAGGGGGAAGAAGCGAAAATTATTACATAGAAATGAAATTCCTCCATCCTTGTAATATGTAAGAGCAAACTTTGTAATATGTAAGAGCAATAGTGGGCTATTTTGATTATTTTTTACTTGACACGTGAACGTGTCTTTATACACATGTGCAAAGAAATTGTAAAACATAAGATAATTTTCCAAGAAATGTCAAAAAGTTTGAATAGATTTTCCAAATCTCAATACACTTCATTTTCACATCAAAGCTATACGACTTCTATATATACTTTTGTAAGTTGTGTGAGCAAGTGTATTCAAGGTCCTCCGTAATTCGAGAAGAGATTTAAAAGCAATAGACAGAAAAAATGACAACAAACTGAAATATAATTCCAAAAACAATAGTTTTTTTTTTTTTAATAACCGTGGATGTTTTGGCCAGCTTGCGCGCATCTCGACTAATTCCACGGAGCCCTGAAGTTTACGGCCGAGTACTTACCTCAGTGGTCCTGAGGGGACTCGAACTGATGACCATTGGGGAGCAAACCCAAGGCGTGACCAATTGAGCAAGCCCTCGAGGTTAATTCCAAAAACAATAGTTAATACTTCTTACCCTTTTTTTAATTAAAAAAGGGAGAAAGAACTATTTGTCAATCAACATAAATGAATTTCTGTTTCTATATAACTATTATATGATTCCTCTTTTCCTCTGTTTTTAAACGTTTATTTTCTTGAATCAGCATAATTTACAAAGAGTAGGTGTTAATATAAAAATGCTGAAATTTAATATAGAATTCAATTGTCAATATTATATCAGCATTCAAAAAAGCTCAGACGAACAATCTGACTTGTCTAAAGAACAGACAAGGAATCAGATTCTAAAATTACTATTCTTAAGCAAGACATCGTCTTGTCGAAAGTATCAAAGGGTAAAATTCCAATTGTTCACATACGAAAATTGGTAATCTGAACTCCAAAACTCAATAACCACCCCAAATTCCAATAGAACCACAACAACAAAGATAAAAAAGTGAAACCTAACCTTGTTAACAGCAGAACAAACAAACTTGCAGCCGAGAACAATGTGACTAAGCAAGATAGTGAAATCCCCACGGGATTCTGGGTATTTAGACTGCTCATTCAACACAAACCTCGTTATGGTCATCAAATCCGTCCGATGTGCATCCGCCGCATGATCCATTTTTCCCCCCAAATTACAACAGAAGATTAAGTCCCCCAAAATATTTTAAAAGGTCAAGGCCATCAGGCTATATAGTAATATTATCTGGTACGAGTGGAACATGATTCTAGGAATACAAAAATCAAACTGCTGACACACAAATTACGTGTGTTTGTGGGCGGATAGGGATGGATCACGGGGTAGTGGAGGGAAAAAATGGAAGGCTATCTCGATATTGAATGGCGGGTTCAGATGACACGTGTTGATTCAGAAGATAACGCGCCTTTTCGTCCTTATTCTTCATCTTCCATATTGGATTCTTGTTCTTATTCCTAATTCGGCAGATTCCTCAATCTGCAGTAGACATCAATCGGCAGTTAATTGGATGACGTAAGGGAGATTTGTCGTTGGGAAAGTTGACGAAATGGAAAATGAAAGGAAATTTGTTTTCCCGAGGAAATGGCGGAGGCTTTTTTTTTTTGAAATTGAAAAGATTACAGCGAATTTTTTGCACTATATTTTATTTTCAATTACGGTCCTCAATCTTTATTCGATATAGTACTCATATTTTATTTTGTTTTATTTTTGTTTTACTCTTATCATCACCTTCTATTAATTAATACATCTCATCTTTAATAATAATTTCTTATCAAAAAGTCCATTGAAAGAGTATAAATTGAGTTATTTGTCAATCATATATTTTTTTAAAATGATAAATATAAAAGTGAGACAATTTTTTTTATTTATTCAAAGCGCGCAAATAGAATATTTTAACCAAAATATCATCTGTGATGAGATAAGCCAATTAATAGAAAGTTGATGATAAAAAATTGATGTCAAAATAGGAATAAGACTTGATATTTATTAGATATGCTCAAAAAATATCACATTCGTAAAGCAAAAACACAAACGCATTTCTATGAATGTGGAAAATGTATCAGATGGGTCGATTCGAATTGAAATTATCAAGTCATCCATAACTATTTAGTCAAAACAAGAATTCAGATTTAACTTGTAAAAATTATCGAATATAATCACTATTTTTTTAATTTTTTGCTTATGAGGGTTGTATAGTTTAGATTCCGGAAGTATGAGGCTCAAAAAATAGTCAACTCTCTTTTAATTAAAGTGTTTTATTGAGAAGTTGACTCTTATTAGTTGAAGAAATAGAGAGCTACCCACAATATGGATACTACTTTTTGACAATTATAACTTCGCTAGTCTTTAATCGTGTATATAATTTTTATATGGTGATTGTATCTCATACGTCAAGCTCTATGTTCAATCCTGATTTCCCATTAGCTTAAAAGACTCTTGATCCCATTTACTATTCATAGTTGAGTTGTATGTTTTCACACTTGACTTTTCTACAAACCGGTTAACAAATATCTTAAAACCTAAATTGTTGCATACTTTTGCCCTTTCCCCTTCCTTTCCCTTCCCCCCACCTTATTTCCCTTTCCCTCTTCCTACAAGAGCTAATGATGACGGCGTTTCTGGCACCTCCACCCTCGCCCACATGACCACATCAACATGCATGCGGCCCCGACCCACCTCGAGTCTCTCCGCGCAGAGGAGTCCGAGGTAATTTTTGTTCCTCTCTTAAAAGCCTAATTTTTAAATTTATTTACTGATGATTTTGCATTATTTGGAAATCTTGTCTCATCTGCTGCACCACCACAATCCTCCTTTGTCTGTCGCTTCTGGCCCCTCTTTGTTGCGGCGTCCACTTCCCATTTCCATTGCCTGGCCCCAGCGTTCTCGACCAGGGGCCCCAGCGTTCTCGATCAGAGGATTTGCGACCCGTCCTACATCATCTTTACTTAATGATCCGAATCCGAACGGGTCGAACCGACCCTCGAAGGAGACGATTCTGCTCTATGAGTGTGACTTTGAGCATTGGCTCGTCGTCGTGGAAAAGCCTGAGGGGAACCAACCTGAGATGAAATCATTGACAGCTACATCAAAACCCTAGCCAAAGTCGTTGGAAAGTTTGATGGTTGGCTTTGTGCTTACATTTTTATGTTTGTAGTTTTATTATT